AGAGAGAAAAAGGAGTGAGTAAGAGAGAGGAGACGAACAACAATTTCAGAGAAAGCCAAAGCGTGTTTGAGATCTATTGCTCTCCGTATGGGTTCCGGGTCCCCTGCCCACTAACAAACATGTCATAAAGGAGACTAGTTGGAGTTTCTTTCGAAGTAATTTTACCTGAGAGGGTAGGAACAGTCATAGGACGGATGCGCACGTAACACCTAATTTCTGGAGCAAGACCAAAGTCTATGAATAGGTTAACAACCAAATCTCTCGCAAGAGTGGAACCCTCGGTGAACGTGAAGAAGAAGAAGAAAGAGATCCATTATTGCCAACCTTAGTTGTGAAGACGGCTTCTCATGGCTCCCTAACCGTCAGCGCCGCCATGACGCCACCTACAATTGTCTGCCCTTGAATAACTTATGATCGCTTCCGTCTGCATCTCAGACTTGAAATTTTCTATTGAAAAAATCTACAATTTTAGTGAAATTCATCATAGGAGATGTTGAAAATGTAAGTCAGCCCATCATGAATATAATCATACAGTGAATAAGGTCCATATCGCTAGCTGTCAAGGATAATTAAATAGGGAATTGTTGGAGGAGGCGTTTGTTGATGTTCTAGTAGTTTTACTTTTACTTTCGTTTTTCTCTTTCGGGGCCTTCTCCGGGGCTTGAGTGTTTCTTTTGTAAATTTGTCTTGGTTTGATGCTTCTTTACTTTTCAAAATTGTCATTCCTGATAGGCTAGAAAGTTTACATTTGTCTTTTTTTATACTAGTGTTATTTATGTTTGTTTTAGTTTTTAGATGAGTGTAAGATTGTAACTGATGTCTTTCGAACAGTGAAAGTAATTACACGGCAGCGCTGTACTGTACTTCGAAGTGAATCAATAATAAAAATAATGGATGCTAGTGAAATTTCTTCTTCCTCTGTGTTCATCCTAAGATGTAACTGTGTTGTGCCCCTAACTTTACAGCATAGCTGCGATATTTACGCTTTTCAACAACACATCCGACCTCTCTTGTTTATTGACAGGGTTAACATTCCCGAAAGTGAATGTTTATGTGTTGCTTTTTATGAAACCATCACAACTAGACAGGGATTCAAATATACAGTGAGATGATACATCACTGAAGTCAGTTCTAAGTACAGCTATTAACATTTTAGTGATGTATACCACCATAAACAAAGTATAGTGTAATCTTACAAAAGATGGTTTCCGAGTTGCGTCCCGGTAAAATGTAGGGTGAAAATGGCTAAATGTTTGCATTTTGTGGCAGTAAAATTTTGGCTATCTTCAGAATAATGGTCTAAAATTATCGAGGCCGAAAATATACCCTAACAGGGCCTCAGTCACATGTAAATTGCGGACTTCCGGCATCTTAAATTGCACACTTCCAGTGTCTACCGCCACAGCCGAAAATATCTCCCACGCCGCTACGCACAGTGTGGACTGGGGCTAAACTAGATGGCTGGGACTCATGAGCAGCTTCCTTCATTTTATTTGCTTGTGAGTCGCAGCCATCTAGTTTAGCCCTAATTCACGCCGCATGTAGCAGCATGATAGATACTGTCGGCAGTGGCGGAAGTCCGCAATTTACATGTGGCGGAGGCCCCGTTAGGGTATATTTTGGCCTCGATAATTTGGGACCGTTACTCGGAAGATAGGCAACATTTTTTTTTTATTAACGAATCCCTTAGCAACTATATATCATTGCAATCGGAGGGCATTGGTGCGTAACTGTGTGTGCATTTCTTAAATACCTATGATGCAGTATGGGCATAATTAACATATTCAGGTTGAGGGGTTGACTTCATTACGCTGTGTGTATTCCATATGGCTCGATGTCTCTCTGTACAATGGCCAGCTCCCTGCAGAGGGTGCCACACAAAGAACAAACACTAGCTCCAGCAAGAATCCCCATGGGTCTCCGTAAAAAATTGCACTTATGAACAAAATGGAGGGTATTAATTTGGATCCAAAGAACTCAAAAACTGTGAAAGAGTTTTGGACAATATCAGATAGAGTACTATTAGTAAAACTTTGCGGCAGACCATTTGACATCAACTTAGTACAGATTTATGCCACAACAGCAGAAAGTTCAGAGGAAGATATTGACGCATTTTATGACGAGTTAGATATGGCTGTTGATCAGTGCAACAATTTTGAAGTAACAATGGAACACAAAAATAGGAAGTGAAAAAGTGTACGGAATAATGGCTGGCTATGGCCTAGGAGAAAAGAATGAGAGAGGTGACAGATTAATAGCATGGGCTGAGTCGCGCATAATGATAATAGGTAACACCTAGTTTAAACAGCATCCTCGAAGATTGTGAACTTGGAAAAGTCCTGGCGATAATGTCCGCAATCAGATTGATTATATTTAGATTTCAAGAAGATTCCGGAGAAGCTTGGAGCAAAAACAAGACCAGGAGCAGACTGCTTTAGTGACCATGTTCCAGTTGTAGGAAAAATTAAAATAAAACTAAAGAACATTGGAAAAACATGACCATGTTCCAGTTGTAGGAAAAATTAGAATAAAACTAAAGAATATTAGAAAAACACCACAGAACATCAAGTTAAATTTAGGAATTCTTAGAACTGATAAAAAAAATTAAAGAACAGTACATTGTCACTGTACGAAAACGGTATAATGCAATGGAAATTATGCAGACTATTGATTAACAGTGGGATATATTGCATGAGTAAATTCAGCAGACATCAAAAGAGACAATCCCACCAACCCATAGAGTTGCAAAAAAGAAATGGATATCAACTGAAATTCTGCAGTTGATGGATGAAAGAAGGAAGGAAAAAAATGATAAAGAATTACATTCTAGAATACAAAAGGAAATAGTGAACAAATGCAAAGTGACTAAAGAAGCCAGGTTGAATCAAATGTGTACAGAGATTGGGGAAAATCACAGGAAAGACTCACATTCCATGTACCAACAGATAAATATGTTAACAGGACAGATGACACGTAACAGCACTTGGATGTTTGAAATCAAAAGATGGTGACTTATTAATGGAACATAGTAATATAATTAACAGATGGACAGAGTATATAGGGGAATTGTATAATGATAATAGACCAGATGAAGAACTGCAGACCATCAATGATGGTCCACCAATAATGACTGCTTAAGTTGAGGATGCAATACATCATATAAAGAAAGGAAAAGCACCCGGGCCAGACAACATCTCACTGGAAGAAATCGAAGCACTGGGAGATTTTGGAATTGAAATAATAACTAAACTTTTAAATGATATTTATAATAGTGGGTATATTCAAAATAACCTTTTAAAATCCATATTTATAGCTCTGCCAAAGAAACCATGCACTTTAAAATGTGAAGACCATCGCACAATAAGTCTTATGAGTCACATGACTAAGATTTTACTGAGAATAATTATGAGAAGAATAAGAAACAAAATTAAACCAGAAATCAGTGATGAACAATGTGGATTTGTAGAAGTGAAAGGTACAAACAATGCTATATACATCCTAAGGACATTGTCAGAAAGAGCTATAGAAGTAAAGACTGATTTGTACTTATGCTTCATAGACTATACAAAAGCATTTGACTGTGTGAAGCATGAAGAAGTAATTAAACTGTTAGAAAAATTAAACATTGATGGGAAAGATCTATGAATAATAATTGATATGTATTGGCAGCAAACAGCAGCTATAAGAATTAACAACTGTTTAGGTACATTTCAAAGCATAAAGGTTTTTGTACCAGCCAGTCAGATTGCTTCTTGCATTTCTTGCACATGTGGGCTGTTCATTGACGGCTTTCGAGAAAGTTTAATGTTTTCTGTAATTTTACATCAATTTTTGTTTCTGGGTTTACCTGTGCCCAACGACGACAAAAAAGGACTGTTGCATCATAGCAACCAAAACATAGTTGGAGGCAGGAAAATGAGTAGAGCCATGTGCCAAAAGTGTCTGAAGGACCTCCAAGGGCCCTACTTCTCAAAGCACAAGTACTAGGATTTATTCAAGCTTCATCCATCAACAAATGCACCCAAAATATTTAAGTTTGTCATGTTTTTTCCCAAGTTTGAAAAAAAAATGTTTGCATAAAGTTTGCAAATCAGAATACTTAATTTGAAAAAATATTGAGATTAGTTTGATTCATGAATATTCTGTTAGCTCATTCAAATTCCTACATGAATATGTATAGTTTTGTACTTGTTAATTAAACACTTTTTTTTAATCCCCTACTGAAAACTCTTGTCTCCAGAAGTTTAACAGAAATTCCAAGTGACCAGAAAATCAAGAGTTTCTGGGAACAAATATGTACTAACCGTGGACTAATTATGTATATCTTCTTCTTCTTCATGTTCACCAGCTGTACACTCCAGCAGAAAGTTCTGGTTGTTTGTCCACTTTTGGATATCACTTGTTCCAGAATCTGAGTGTTACATGCACATCCATTCAACAGTTCTGATTTATTTGTATGCAGAATACTTGTTCCTTGCCTGTTAGGCAGATGCACTCTGACTCTTGTTGCTCTTACGACAGTCTTGTTGGCGAGGCAGTGGGTCTATTCTTGTTTTCCCCAAGGTGGGACACCGGAACCCATAGGGAGTATATTCACAAAACCGATGTAATACGTCTCCCTTGAGGCCTACGTCTAGACGCTCACCTGTGGATCGGAAGGTCATGGGTTCGGCTCCTAATGGAGCCAGACTTTTTTTCTTTCCAAACATACATAACCTTGACTCCCAGGTCGACCCAGCCTTAAATGGGTACCAAATGAAGTCTGGGAAGTAATGGCAGCCAGTGTGATGCTGACCACATCACCTGCCAAGTGCCATATTGCTCTTTAAAATATAGGTCTAGCCCTATATGCCCAATACACCTAAAGGCGTGAAAAAGGGTCTTCATTTTTTTTTAACTTACTGGGGCCTAAATCTTTGTTCATGTTAACTGAGTGTTGATCTTAAGCGAGTTCATGTTAATGAGGTTTTACTTGGTCTTTTCTATTATAGGGTTTAGCTATGGCACATAGCATCGATGATTTAACGACCTCCTGTGCTGAAGCATCGTCAAGAAATATACCTCTTCAGGCGGACCTGGAGAAGTTTTCACTTCTCAGTAAAGATGATGGAAGCAAACTTCGCCGACCTGTGCGTCCTATTGATCGCCAGCGTATGCGGCCTTGGCTGATGGAGTTGCTAGACCTTGGGAATGTGTTTGGTTTACGATGGACGGATCGGCGTTTGGGCATATTTCAAATTTCATGGAGGCATGCATCGCGGTTGGGCTGGAATCTGGAAACAGACGGGGATGTGTTTGAAAGATGGGCAAAGCATACAGGTAGGGCCTTTAAAGTGATTGCATCCTTATTGTATGCAGGTTTTCCCCCTTTGGGTTACCAGGCTCCCATTTGGGTCGAAACAAAGAAAAGATCCACTGCCCCCTTACAGACATGTGTTGTAAATGACGACTAATGAGAGGCGATTCATTTGAAGTCAAAGTGCACATTCCTGAGAGGTAAGGAATCAGCAGTCTGCACATAAATAAGCCAGATCAGTATAAAAGCCAGATCAGTATAACAGATCTGCAGGCAATACTCAGGTTCTGGAACAAAGATATAAAGTCCAGAAGGGCTAAACAACCATAACTTTCCGCCCGCGTTTACAGGCAGTGAATGTGAAGAAGAAGAAGCATCCATAATGTGTATAGATATTGTTGACGGATTATATCTTTCTTCTTATAGTCCTTGTCTTGTTTTGTTGGACATCTCGTCTGTCCACATCTTTCTGTCTTAGGTATTCTTCATGTCACTGTTGACACATAAGGCATTCACAGGTGATCTCCACAGCTGTCAATCTATTGTTGTATTTTTTTTTTAAACCTGTGGTATCCAATGTCATTTTACATTCCTTCATTTCTCTTTCTGCCATCTTTCTTTAGGTTTCCCTAGGTCATCCACCTATCCTTTTTCCATCTGCTATTTTTCAGAGAGTTGTGCTTGCGAAAAAGTCGCAAGACATTCTGCAAACCTGGCCAAACCATCTCCATTTTCTTCCTGTGATAACATTTGTCAGTGGCGAACATTTTATTATATTTCTCAGCTCTTTATTTGTGATCTTGTCTGTCTAGTGTACTGTGAGCATCTCTCGTAAACTCCCTTGCTCCAGTTTTTCCCTTCTCATGGCACATCCATAGAATTTGGATACGTTTTACGTTGCATCATTCGGTTCTTTTTGTAGGTTAATGTATTTCAAGACATCTATATTGTGCCTTTTAACTGTCCAGATAGCCATTAGCCTTGTTTGACAGTTGATCTTAGAAAAACACTCCGACAGGAGAAAAACAGGGCACTGATCTTCTTATTCAGCAGATTCTTCAGCATGCTTTGTCCCAAATCTGTTGATGTTAACCTTTCCTTTGGTGTAAAAACAAAAAACAAAAACAGGCTGAGAGAGGGATCATGCTGCAGGGGCAAAACATGGTCTCTACAACCACCCAGGCTTTGTGCTGAAGAGATGAGGAACTTGACCTTAACTGGTATCACTGTGGGCTGCGTGGTTTCGAGGCATGGTGCCCGCCTTGAGTGCTAGAGGGTTCAATCCCCGTTAAGGGCTGGGATTTTTTCACATGGACTTGGATTTCTAGTAAATCTGCCTGGTCTCTGGGTAGTGAGACCGGATGCCCGTGTGCATTGTTGTGGACGTAAAAAAATCCTTTAGCAATAGGAAATCGAATAGAGTAGTCTAACGACGCTGCCTATGCAAAATTTGGAGTCAAAAATCTACTACTACCATGATGCCATGATGTTGATCCGTTGTTCAAACCTCAAACTGTGGGCTTAATTTCCAGTTAACCTACAGCACCATGGAATACGGTCCTTTAGAAGACAGAAAGTTTCAATAATGAAAGTGAACAATTCTAATTCATCACCAGTCCCTATTTCTTCAAGTTATATCTTCTTTTTTTTTTTTGTTCACCGGCTGTAAGCTCTGGCGGAAAGTCCTGGTTGTTCACCCTTTTGGACTTTGGCTTTGTGCCAGGGCCTGAGCTTTGTGTGTACATCCGTTTTACTGGCTTATTTGTGTGCAGTTGATTGTTCCTAGTGGCTCCGGCAAATGCACTCCGACTTCGAAGGAAGTCCCCAGTCAGTCTACTCCTGCAGTGTGCAAGACGACAAGCTTTTCAGGGAGGCAGTGGGTCTGCTCTTGTTTTCTTCACAGTGGGGACCCGGAACCTACACGGGAGAATTCGGTTATATTTTAGTTATATAAAAGGAATTTAGTTACATAAAAGCGACCAGCTGAAATTGACAGGAGTTGTAACAGCTATGATGACTGCCCTTTTTGATGTTACGTTGCTTGTCGAAACATCCCCTTTGACTTAAGGTGTTCATTGTGATAGATAATTTTAAAACTCAAGTTGAACACGTAAATAAATCAGATCTGCCACAATGTGGTTGTTAATCAATACATCACCTGTCATCTCCGACTTGTTAACTTTTACTCACTGATTTAAGAATATACATCATAACACACTGGGCATACCCGTAGATGCTGCATATCTTGCAGCAAATGTCTTCAGGTGTAGATGCTAACTTTTTCCAGAGTACAATGGCTACAAACCTGCCACTGTCTTCCTCTGCCCGCATCGCTTCCCACCCAAACCACACCAACTCCTTGTTTACACACACTCCTGCACATATTATTTGACCTGACCTTGCGTCTTTCATCAGAACTTGTTACCAAACTTTCTTCAGAATCTCTCTTCTCTTGAGCACAAGTGCTTCGGCAGCTATAGCTCCCATAGCCAGAAAATCTGCTCTTCCATTTCCTCCCAACCCGCGTGCCTCGAACAGCACATCCACTTGACTCCCTGCAACGCCGACGTGCTCCCACATCAGACCCTCCCTAACACTCCGCAGCACAGAACGAGAACCAGTAACCTGGGTCTTGGGTGGGTGGCAGAGAATAGATATTCTAACTCATTAACCGTGAAAAACTGCTGATTGTGCCTGACACACGTTTTCATAGAACAGTCAGCACTCAATGGATGATTTGGTCAGTATCATGCTGGCCGCCTTTACTTGTCAGGACATTTCCTAGTACTCATTTGGACGTGTTTGCAAAATACCTGATGACGTTTTGGCATGGACAGCTCTCCAATGAGAGCAGGTGGAAAAAATTAAGCAAGGGCAGTCTTAGGCGGGAGGGGGGGGGGAAGCAGTTTTAAAATTGAGTTTTTAATCTGTAGTTGTATTAATGCTTTCTTCTGCTTCTCTGGTCCTCTTCTGCGTTTCAACGGCAGGTTCTGTAGTGGTCTTAGGTGCCAGCCTTGGTATGTGCTTTGTAGATGATAATATTTATGGTCTCAGATATTTCGTCTGTCCATTGTTTGTGTTGTCGACCTATAGAGGTGCTTCTTTTCTCTCTGTGGTGTGACATCTGGTGGAGTCGGGAAACATTTCCAGATCACCGGCTCAATGTCTGTGTAATACTAATTTTAGATATGTTTTATTTATTGTTGCTTAATTGATAAAGTGCCTTCTCCACCCTGAAAATTGGCTGCAGTGGATCTCCAACACACTTTGTCTCTGTCATCCCACTTTGCTGTCTACCTTTTACTTGCATAACTTTTCCTTCTAGTGTGGTTTTTGGGAATGCTACAACTTTTAAGGTGGCCAGACTATTTGACTTGTCTCTTAGTTATTTATTTCAACACCTGTCTTTTCATTCCCAGTTTCTTTAAAACAGTGATTCTCAACCTTCTATTGCTGCGACCCTTAAATGCAGTTCATAATGCTGTAGTGACCACAACCACAAATTATTTTCATTGCTACTTAATAACTAAAGTTTATATTTGTTTTCCGATGGTCTTAAGTGACCCCTGTGAAATGGTTGTTCCACCCCCCCAAAAAGGGTCCCGACACACAGGTCGAGAACCGCTGCTTTAGAACTTCAGTATTTGGTTGTTTTTGTTCCCACAAAATCTAAACTATTCCTTGGTTTTTTAACATCTCCAGAGATTCAGTTCGACTTTCTTATTGTTTGTTCAGTGCTAAATTGTGTATGCATTTTTTGTGGATTCAGTAAGTATAATGATGACCATAGATAATAAAGCATTTAACAAAACATTTGCAGGGATTTATAAAGAAGGTGATCCCCCAGAACCGAAGCGATGGAAGGCGAACTTCAGGTGTGCGCTGCACAGTTTACATGATGTTATTGACCTGACAGTGGCCGTGGAGCGTAGAGGTCGGAATGCATGCAGGACATATCGCTTTTTGCAAAGTAATGAAGATAAAAGCACAAACCGGAAGAGAACCAGCCCTAGACGTAAGAAAGACTTTTAGCGTGACTAATATGAATTTCTATACCATTTCTTTTTATTACTAGGAGTTTGTTGAAGTTCGGTTAGGGTGTTACGCTAGTACCAAGTCTGAATCCTCAGTGAAGTGATGGAGGTTTTCCTCCTGTCGGGAAGACAAGAAAACATCATAACATGCACAGTTCATAATGACTGACTAGCCAACTTTTTAATTAAATGGTATGATAGAATCACTAATGTAAAGCTTTGGGAGAGAACTAAACAAATTGCAGTAGATAAAGAGGTGAAGAAAAGGTGCTGGCGTTGGATAGGACACACTTTGAGAAAACTTGAGAACAGTATAACTAGAATGTCTTTGATTGAGGGCCTATGTTCCATTAGGGTTTAGATATAAAACTGAACATAAAATATATCACTTAGCTTCACAATAAAACAAACACATACAAAACGTGAACGTTTCGGCTATAGAGCTTTCATCAGCACATACATAAATTAAACAAACCCACACGAGTACACAAAATCACCTAACTCGCGTATCCAGATGCAGCCACGTGGATGTCTTGCCAGTGCAATGAAAAGAACACACTAAACCGGAGAATAGATACCCATAGAGTGCCAAAGGCCTAAACATTTGGGGTTAGAAGGGCAGAAGAAGACACTAGTTGTGTGACCTTAAATCCTCATGCTAAGGTTATCGAAACAAATGTGAATCTAGCTATTCCCTTGTTGATTCATGGGCCCCAATTCGGGAGAGGGGGGTAGACCCTCCCTCCCACAACATGTAAAAGGCAACTACTAAGGGGGTTTTTCCATTGAAAGATTGCATCTGCCAGAGAAACAAGGAACTAACAGTCTACACACAAATGAAGCCAGATCTGTAACATGGATGTACATGCAAAACCCAAATTCTGGAACAAGAACAAAGTCCAGAAGTGGACGAGTAACCAGAACTTTCTGCCAGAGTTTGCAACCGGTAAATGGTAAGTAGAAGAAGAAGATTTTCTAGCACTAAAAGCCTCACGACTCAGTGACTTACAAAATTCACTACTCCATTTTTGCTCCTTTTTTAACTTAGGGTGTTATTGTGAGTGATGCTTGTTTTATTTTAAAAAAATACTAGATTTAATTGCCCAACTGAGCCCGAGTTAGTGAAAGAAAGTTTCAGTCTCCTGTTCTCTACCTCATCGTGGTCTCATGTGGTTTCGAGGACAGTAGCGAAGTAGAATTTTGTTTTTACTTCAAATTAATTGTTATAAATGATGTAAGAGGAAACAAATTTCCAAAGGGATGTAACTCCAGTGAAAGTTCATTTTTATGTAAATAAAAGAACTGCAGAATAACCTGGCAGCCACTGTGACTGTTGATTGAACTTTGTATCCATGATGGCAGTGGAAAATTTAATCCATGTATTGTTTACGGTTGGAGGAGCTAACAACAGTCCATTTAAAATGAACACATGAAAAACAGAAAGGGTTTGTGATTTATGTTATAGATGCATCCCACATGACCCATGCGGTAATCAGCAATATGTAAGTTATCCCCCTTTTTTTCAGCCGGGGGGGGGGGGAGGGGCTGCATATAGCTAGGTCACAAATGCCGAAAGGGGTTTCTGGGACCTTTCGACAGGTGATCCTCATCCACATGGTGGCACCTTGTGTCACTGGGTGTTTATCACTCGTGTGATGTCCTAGTGGGGAACAACAAACAAGCATGCAGCAATAACTTTGCAAAGTCCATTACTCACTGTTTATCTTTTTTGTATGCTATTTTAGTGAGTACGACGAGAAAGATAATTCTTAAAAATTATATAAATCCTATATTGAAATACAGATGTGAATCATGGACAGTTAGTAAATTAGTAAAAACTTATTTGGAAGCTGCAGAGATGTGGTTTTATAGACGAAGGATGAGAATACCCTGGACAAATAAAAAGAGTAATGAAAAGGTCTTGAAAGAAACTGACTCACGAAGAGAACTGATTGCCCACATCAGAAAGAGACAACCTACATTCTTTGGTCGTGTGATGAGAAGGAGAAAAACTGGAGTACATAGTGACGTTGGGAAAGTTTGAGGGCAGAGGGGGACAGAGAGAAAAGTTGCTGGACAGTCTGACATCAGGGCATGGAGGATCATTTGAGTCACAGTTGATTGAAGTACACAAGACAGAAAGTTGTGGATAACCTGACTACCAACGCCACACAACATGGAGGATCAATTGGTGTCAGAGTTGGTTAAAAGTACACGAGACAGAATGTTGAATTAAGAGTCAACGTCACAGCACTCTGAACACCCCCATAAGCGCTCCGTCCCCATCTTTAGCAGCATACGAAGAGTTAAAATTCCAATGGTACCAGTGACAGTCTGATTGTATATCTGTCTCGCCTTTCCCCTGAGTGTCAAACATCTGCCAGTTCCTCTTGAAACTCCTCGCAGTTCCGTAATGATCTATCTGTGCCTCGGCACTGTTGACTTGCTCCCAAAGGGCCCTCACTTGATACCATCTGCAGGTGGCACGAGACAGAAGGTTGTGGATAGACATGACTACCAACGCCACACTACATGGAGGATCATCTGTGTCAGAGTTGATTAAAAGTACTCAAGACATAAGGATGGGGATAGACATGGCTACCAACGCCACACGACATGGAGGGTCATCTGTGTCAGAGTTGATTGAAAGTACACGAGACAGAAGGTTGGGGATAGACATGACTACCAACGCCACACGGCATGGACTTGAAATAGAAGATGGTGAGCACCGATTGGTTTACAAACTGCCCACAAACTTCTACATGGTTACTCACCCTTGTCTTTTCTCTACAGAAACCAAGGAGGTTCCAGAATATGTGCAGCAGAAATACTTGCAAGAGGATGTCCAGATGGAGATCATAGACTCCTGCACAGAGGAGGAAGTAGTATCTCATCATGAATTTAAAGCTTGTAGGCGAGACAAGGTAAGAATTTTTTTATGATCTGTGGTTGAAATCATGTTTTCCCCGTGTGGGTTTCCGGGGCCCTAGTATAGGGAAAACAAGAATAGACCCACTGCCTACCCAAAAGCATGTCGTAGGAGTTGACTAATTGGGAGCTTCCTTTGAAGTCTGAGTGTATCTGACTGAGAAGCGAGGAACCAGCGGTCTGCGCATAATGAGTCAGATATTTCAAATGGATGAACACGCAACACTCAGATTCTGGAACTTGACTGGAGTCCAGAAGTGGACGAACAACCAGAACAGAATAGAGAGAATTAAGTGATATGATAGAATAACTAATGTAGAGCTTTGGGAGAGAACTAAGCAAGCTCCGGTGGACCAAGAGGTGAGGAAAAGTCGCTGGTATTGGATAGGACATACATTGAGAAAACCGGGGAACAGCATAACTAGAATGTCTTTGCATTGAAACCCACAGGGGCATAGGAATAAAGGAAGGCCAAAAAACACATGAAGAAGAGAGCTGAAGAATGAAGTTGAAAAGATGGGAAGAGCTGCATGCGATAGTGAAGGATAGAATGACTTGGCATCTGTTGGTTGAGGGCCTATGTTCCATTGGGGGCTAGAAAGGCAGAAGAAGAAGAACCAGAACTTTCTGCCGGAGTTTACAGCTGGTGAACACAAAGAAGAAGAAAACATGTTTTTATTGATCCTCTTACTGTGGAGTTGTCGGCTCGTCTTGTCTGTCTTGTCTTGTCCACAATTGCCTCACAGCGTAGTGGGGAGTCACAGTTTTCTATCCTGGGCCAGGTGTGTTGCACGTGTTGTTGTTAGTCCGTGTTGCCACAGGATCTCTGATATATTGTCTATCCATCGTACTCTCGGTCTGCCTCTTGCTCTAGGGCAGTAGTGCTGTTCGTTGTATGCTCGTAGAGGCAGTTGGTCGGTTTGCATTCGCATCAAGTGGCCAAACCACTCTATTTGTTGCTTCTTTATGTATTGCAGGCATGGTGTGGTTCCTCAATTGCTCTAATGTTCTCGTTTCGAACTCTGTCTCTCCTTGTGACATTGGCAGCCTTACGTAAGCATCTCATTTCGCACGTCGTGATCTTTTTCTCCTGTGCTCTTGTTAGGGACCAGGTTTGGCATTGGTAGCAGAGGGTTGGTATAAACATGCAATTTATCAGTTGTCGTTTTAGTGCCATGGTGATGCTTGGGTGTTTTAGCAGTGGGGAGAGTTGGTAAGTTACTGCGTTCGCCTTTTGACATCTTGCCTCAAGTTCCCTATCAATTCTTCCATCATCTGTGAAGATGCTCCCCAAATATTTAAATTGCTGCACTTGTTTGAGTTGTTCGTTGTTAACGTCGGCTCGTGCTAGTTTTAAAAGAAAACACAGGGACTCTGAATCCACGCTGTTTTTTTTTTTTTTTTAAATATATATATATAAAAGACCTTGGCTCCCAAGGTTATTTGCTTAAAAATATGTACCGGAAAACAGTGGCAGCATCGTTGACCCTCTCCTATCAGATGCTGATCGGTTTATAAAAAATATGGATCTGGCATGTCTTGTTCATGATATTTATGTATTTTCACTGGAAATAAATTATCTGTCACGCAAATTGTGGGAAAACACCTTGTATTAGATTCATTGAGAAACAGCAGATCAAGTGGTTTGGCCATCTCGTTAGAATACAGCAAGATCAAATACCATCACAAGCACTACATCTCAGAAGATCAGCTACACGAGCAAGAGGACGGCAGCGGAAACATGGATTGACAACATTAAAGACACTTTAGGCCTTCAAGGCATGACAGTAGCCAGTGACAGCCTGCGTGCACTGGATCGCAAATTAGTTCTCCCCACGCCGCTTAACTGCAGATGATGATGATGAATAAATTATCTTTTCCGTTAAAAGCAAAATAATGGGAAAAAACATAGATTTGCTGGCTTCTAAAGTGGTAGCCGCACGAACACTTGTACTAGACAAAGGAGATGTTCTGAAGACCATTTATGAACTATGCTAATAAAAGTTACAAGGTTTAATTAAATAACGTGTGTAAGAATGTGTGAACAAGGAATTAGTTGTGGATGAAGCGAGGAGAGGTGTGCGAGAGTAGGAGAACGAGTTTTTAATCAGTGTGTACTACAGGAAACATTAGCATTTACACCTTAAGAATCTGTTGTGTGAGATGGAGCACCTATGAGTGTGCCCGGAGGGCTGTGATCTTGATTCTGAAATCAGTAAATCTTTTCCATTCAAGTTTCCATGATTGCATGCCCATTGGCATTCACCTGACCATAGCATTGGCGCTTGAGTTTAAAGGTCTCAAAAGATCCCTGGAAGAAATTGAAGCTTTGGGATATTTTGGAATTGAAATAATAACAATTGTTAAGAAACATTTATAATAATGGGTACATTCCTAATAACCTATTAAAATCTATATTTATTGCTTGGCCAAAGAAACCAGGTACTTTAAAATGTGAAGACTATCGTCTTATGAGTCATGTGACCAAAATGTTACTGAGAATAATTAGGACAAGAATAAGAAACAGGTTAAACCAGATATTACTGAAGAACAGTGGGGATTTGTAGAAGGAAAAGGTACAAACAATGCCATATACATCCTCAGGACTCTTTCGGAAAGATCTATTGAAGTAAAAAAAAAAAAATCTTTGCTTACGCTTCATTGACTATACGAAAGCATTTGACTGTGTGAAACAGATAGAAATAATCAAACTTTTGGAAAAGTTAAACATTGATGGAAAAGATTTACAAATTATACAGAGCATATATTGGCAGCAAACAGCAGCTATAAGAATTAATAACCAATTTGGAACATTTCAGGGCATAAAGAGGGTATTACGACAAGGATGTGTACTATCACCTGATCTGTGCTCATTATACAGTGAATATATAATAAGATGTATCATGGATTTGCTAGGAATTGTGGTTGGTGATCTTAACATAAACAACCTGCATTGTGCTAATGATATCGTCTTGACATCAACAAGTCAGAAAAAAACTACAGGAATTGATAGATGCGGTGGTGGTAGAAAGTGATTTAATGGACCTCAGTTTGAATAATAGAAAGATACAAATAATGGTGATGTCTAAGAAATGAATAGTGGCTAAATTAATAATAAAAGTCACAGGCTTTATTTTAGGACAAGTGCAGAAATTTAGGTATCTAGGCACATGGATAACATCCTATGGAAGATGTATCACAGAGATAAAAAATAGAATACGACAGGCCAAAACTGCATATTACAAAATGAAGATATTTTGCGCAACAAATCCATGTCATTGGAGGTTGGGGAAAAATTCTTGCATGCTGTATACAACCAGTTTTAACATACGGCTGTGAATCCTGGACAATAAATAAAAAGCCGAACAGTATCTTCAGATTTCGGAGATGTGGTTTTACAGAAGAATCCTTAGAACTCCTTGGACAGCTAAGAAGAGCAACCCAGATGTTTTGAAAGAGGCGAATGCTCATAGAAACAGTCAGTCATCATTTTTTGGTCATGTAATGAGAAGATTGAAAATAGAACATGTTGTGACCACTGGAAAGATCTGTAGAAAGAGAGACAGAGGAAGACAGCTCAAGAAGATTCTTGAAAGTCTTTTGTTGTGGCATAGGGTGTCACACACGAGCTGACCCACCAGTTGTGGAGAGGCATGATCGCCCACGCCATTTGACAAGGCACTTGATGATGATGATGAATAGTTTTACTGTTTATTTGAATACAGGTAATAGTTTTACTATTCTTTTACTGTTTTATTTGAAATCAGGTAATAGTTTTACTGTTCTTTTACTATTTATACACATGTAATAGTTTTACTGTTCTTTTACTGTTTTATTTGAATACAGGTTGTAGTTTTGCTATTCTTTTACTGTTTTATTTGAAATCAGGTAATAGTTTTACTGTTATTTTACTATTTATACACATGTAATAGTTTTACTATTCTTTTACTGTTTTATTTGAAATCAGGTAATAGTTTTACTGTTATTTTACTATTTATATACATGTAATAGTTTTACTGTTTTATTTGAACACAGGTAATAGTACAGAAGCTAGACATGAAGCCTGAAATTCTTGTGGAGGACTTTTGCTTGCACCATGATCATGATTATGCTGGGCCTGACAGAACTCGTGAGTTGTATTTGCCATTTATAAATTAGTCGGACAGTTCCTCTGTGATGTTTCTCCACACGGTAATGATCAACAAAAATTGACTCCTTGTTTGGGTTCCGGGGCACTTTTAGAAAAACAAGAAATAGACCCACTGCCTACCCAGAAGCATGTCGTAAGAGTCAACTAATTGGGAGCTTCCTTCAAAGTCAGAGTGCATCTGCCTAAGGGGCAAGGAACCGGCAGTCTGCATACAAATGAGTCAGATCTGTAAAACGGATGCACATGCATCACTCAGGTTCTGGAACAGGGCTGCAGTCCAGAAGTGGATGAACAACCAGAACTTTCCGCCAGATTTTACAGCTGATGAACACGAAGAAGAAGAAGAAAAACTTGACCAGTGGAAGTATAGTTACCAGGAGGGTCTGTTTTGTTAGATAGATCAACTGACAGTGATCTCTTCTGAGATCACCAACTGTGAACTCTGATGAAAAATTATGGGTTGTTCATGTGTGCCTGGCCTTTTTCCAGACTTGAGTAATGTGCACATCCTTCTCATGTGGATTCTGGGGCCTCATTGTGTTAGGGGGGGATAGACCCACTGTCTCCTAGCAAGCTTGTCGCAAAAGTTGACTAATTAGAAGTGTTTATTTCAGTCAGGGTTATCTGCCTGAGAGGCAAGGAACCAGTAGTCTGCATACATATAAGCCAGGTCTGAGCTCTGGTTTTTGTACACTGCTACAGGCGGTGATGCACCTGTGAGTCTTGGTTCTGATGCACCACCACAGGCAGTGATGTACCTGTGTTTGTCCTGGTGCACCACCACAGGCAGTGATGTACATGTGTTTGTCCTGATGCACCACCACAGGCAGTGATGTACCTGTGTTTGTCCTGATGCACCACCACAGGCAGTGATGTACCTGTAAGTCTTGGTTCTGATGCACGACCACAGGCAGTGGTGTACCTGTGTTTGTCCTGATGCACCACCACAGGCAGTGATGTACCTGTGTTTGTCCTGATGCACCACCACAGGCAGTGATGTACCTGTAAGTCTTGGTTCTGATGCACCACCACAGGCAGTGATGTACCTGTGTTTGTCCTGATGCACCACCACAGGCAGTGATGTACCTGTGTTTGTCCTGATGCACCACCATAGGCAATGATGCACATACAAGCATTGGTTCTGATGCACCAGTACAAGCAGTGATGCACCTATGTTTGTCTTGCACCTCCACAGGCAGTGATGCACCTTCACAGGTAGTCATGCCCCTCCACGGGCAGGGATGCACCTCCACAGGCAGTGATACACCTCCACAGGCAGTGATACACCTCCACAGGCAATGATGCACCTCCACAGGCAGTGATGCACCACAGGCAGTGATGCACCACAGGCAGTGATGCACCTGTTTGTCTTGCACCACCACAGGCAGTGATGCACCTCCACTGGCAGTGATGCACCTTCACTGGCAGTGATGCACCTTCACTGGCAGTGATGCACCTCCACAGGCAGTGATGCACCACAGGCAGTGATGCACCTCCAAAAGGCAGTGATGCACTTCCACAGGCAGTGATGCACCACAGGCAGTGATACACCTCCAAAAGGCAGTGATGCCCCTCCACAGGCAGTGATGCATCTCTTCATCCCACAGTAATTTCAGAAAGTGGTGATTGCATTAGAGCTGATATCAGGAAATAAATTCAAACACTTAACTATCAGTAGGGCAGACAGTGGGTTATAAGACAAGACACATGTTGAGGAGAAGCAAACAGAATCACAAAAGTGGCACTAGAATAGGAAACAAATGGACTGGGGGAAATGAGGTGGTCCAAAATACACTCAATAGATTAATGTTGAGATAGGCCTGGGGTGCTGGTCTAAAGTTCTTCCATGGTATTTAGACAATTGCACAGGATAGAAAGAAAATAGGACTGTGTCCATGGAAGTCGGAGCTTGCTAAGGCAGTGATTCCCAAACTGTGCGCCCCGGGGAGCCGCGCCTATTCACAGGGGTGCCACAAAATATTCGAAAATACAAGTTTTGTTTTTCCATTATCTCTTACATACAAATAGTCATACTTTAACCTAGGTTAGAGCACCATGGAAAATTGTAATTGAAAAGAAGGCGCCGCGACTAAGAGAAGTTTGGGAAACACTGCGCTAAGGAATGTGTAACAGCCCACCTGGTAAATCAACCAGCCCTAAAAATGGATGGCACTAGGGGGTCATAGGCATCCTGGGCCATCTTGGCAGTCAGTCGCTCAAAAGAACAAGGCAGAACTTTCAGTGACTTAATTCATGGAAACACCTTAGTTCACCAGGCTTTTTTTTTTATCAGGTGTTTTTTTTCTCTCTCTGGCATATGTTGTTTTAACCCTTTTACCTCGAGAATACTTTTTTTTTTAAAAAGGCAATACCCTGTTAGAATTTGAGGGGAAAAAACTTTAAAAACTGTTTATGAAGTTCACTTATCAGTTTGTTAAAAAATGTATTTATCTATAATGTTTATATAATTTTTCGAAAAATATATAAAAGGACATGTGAAGGGGATGATCAGTAAACCAGAATATGGTGAAGCATTAAATGGAATAGATCCCTGGGGCCTAAAAACGACATGCATATGTCTAGTGATTCATGCTGTGGCTCTATCACTGGGGCTTACGGGAAAATCTGGCGTAAACTTGGCTTTAAAAAATCCATTTCGCTCAAATAACACCCCCTCCCCTCAAATGCTATTGTTATTTACTGTGTTCACTATAGACAAGTTGGAAAAGTGACATTTACGGGGTATTAAAAATAAAGTTAAGGACCCTTTTCCACACCTTTAGGCATATAGGGCTAGACCTATATTTAATAGACCAATCGGCACAAGGTGGGTGATGTGGTCAGCATCATGCCAGCCGCTTTTACTTTCCGGGACTGCCCCCGGTACCCACTCAAGGCTGGGTCAACCTGGGAGCCATGGTTTTTTTTTTTTTTTTGAAGCCAGGGAAGGAACCCACGACCTTCAGATCGGCATGCAAGCCCATAGCTGCTCCGCCATGGTGATTTCCACGGGGGATTAAACCCAACGAGAATTGTCAGTTTTTCGGAGCGAACTGATTGATTTAGACCTGCCATTTACTAGATAAAGAGACACATCTGACTTCATGTGACATTTGTTGTCTGGGCTATGGGCTAGCCTTCCTGTGCAGAAGGATATCATGTCCAGTGTATGTTTCCAGCTAATTTTGTCACAGAGAATATTTGTTTTTCATTTTCTTTTTCCAGACAAAACTATTTTCTTACGTCAAGGAGTGGGTTCCATCGTGTTACAGAAGGAAATTCATAGTGCCCCAGGATCCGCTGATGAAGTCGAGAGCTTACTGATTTCTAATTTAGATCAGCTTGCGTCAGCTGCCATGAACTCAGTCGGCATTGAATCCCTCCAGTCACAAGAAGTAAATGAGGAATCAGCTTGTAGGAAAGCCAGTGAGAAACCAGTTGTTGATATGCGTGAACTGTCGCTGTCTACTGATTCAAGCATAAGAGAATTAAATGTAAAGTATTTTTCAGAACAGACACATTTTGTGAGTGATAGTGCCATCTATAGCAATAACTTTGCAAGAAAAAGAAAGTCTTCGACTGTTGAAAATGAGTGCTTCGCTGCCAGCATTGCTGAGAGCAAAGCAGAGTCTGGTAATGTTGGTAACAATAAGTATTCCCTAAGAATATTTACAAACGACGGCTCAGCGTCGTCCCCAGGCACACGTCAGAGAACCAGCTCTCCGAAAATTCTTTTTCGTAGATCGAAACGTAGCAAAGTGGGATCTGAGAAAAATGTGCCAGACTCTTCTGAACCGCTGATGTCATCATGTTTATTGTTGCTGGAGGCAGCAACTAGACTGGATAATGCTGAAAAAACTGGCACGACATCCTTACAGACTGGCAGACAGAATTTGAAGACGTCGCCCAGATTTCAGTGTCCTGAATTCTCTAGTATAGAAAGTGAAATAAGGAAGGACATGTCTAGACTAAAAACTTCAACAAGTGAATTACCAAAGCCATTTGAATTACAGCGCAGAACACGTCTGTCAAATTGTACAGAAGCCAGCAAAAATGTTGCATCTTTTGGAATTTTACGAACAACTCTTGAAAATACTGATAGAGTTACAGAGTATAGGGGAAGTGTACACACATTTGAAACACAGCCTTTTTCAAATAACTCTTGCAAACCTGCCGTGAGTTCATCAGAAATAAAAATTGTTGTCAAAGAAGCACCTTTTGCAACAGGATTGTTTAGTGGTTCCAGGATTGAACCAAAAGCTTCTCTTGCATTTATCTTAGACAAGCAGAAGAGGAATAAAGAAGATGTGTTGTTGTCCAGAGTCAAATTACCTGCACAGAAAGAAAAACAAAGTGATGGAAGTTGTGAGCCTGCATCTGTTTCAGGTAAAGGCGTTTCTCAAACAGTGCCATCGGTGGCTTGCAATACTTCTGCAGGAACATCTGATACGTGTAAGAAGCCATTTGTCTCCAGTTTTAATACACATGACATTTGCTTCAGTAGTTCCTCAGGGATAAAGACTTATACTGTAAGGTCAATGCCAGGCTCGTTTGGTTCTCTAGTGGTATCACCGACTCCTGCGGTGAGGAATATCAAGTTTACTGCTACCTCATCTCATCCAACACCAGTGGAGGTTCTACCCACTTATTCACAAGCAGAAATAGTTGCTTCTTCAGAATCTTCTGATCTGCATTTCAGTGGATGTCAAAATTTCCCTGCTTTTGAAACAGACAATGTGATGTCTTCCAGCTGTCTCCTATCAGAGTCAGACTGCTCATCAGTCTCCACAGAATCATCGACACTGATAATACAGGAAAAAGATTTATTTACTTTCAAGCCTGGAAAAGATGTGGTCGGCGATGTTGCATTTAATATTGAGCCAGCATCTGCAAGCTCATCTGTTACCCATACCGATTTACCCACAGAAGTGACAGTATCCTCTGAGGACCTTGAGGACAAAGAATCTCGGAGACTTTTGGACGCCGGCACTCAAGAGTTGCCTGGTCAGACATGGCAGGGTTATTCACATGGACAGTCTACAGTTTTGAGACCTGAGTTTTTAGCCAAGGTAGAAAGGAAAGAAGAACTAGAAGATTCTTGCATTTCTGTCATGAAAGCTACTGGACCTCTAAATGATTTGTGCTTATTCAGTGGTGTGAACTCTGAGACTTCAGAAAGAATGAAGTCATTGGAAACGGAAGATGTTGTATGTGAAGCGAAACCATCAAGTTGTAAAAAGGTTCCATTGCATACGCCAGCAGTTCATTCTTACAGTTTTCAACCATATCAAGGGAGAGATTGCATTCGCTCAGAAGTAATTTCACATGACAGTTCTGAAAATTCACTTCATTATTCTTCAAACAAATCCTTACAAGGTCATACATCTGCTTCTGCCAGTTATGAAACTTTAGGAACTAGTAAAAATAATGATAAGCCACTTTATTTGACACATTCGTTTTCTTTGTCACCTGCTGGTACAGCTGTTAAAGTACAATCATTGGCACAACTATGCAAAAAATATTTAGCCAACCTTTTCACAGCACTGGACAATCAGGCATCAGAATCTGATGAAAATGATTCTGTTATGAATCTCCCCAATGTGAACTGAAGAATGAAAAACAAGAAATAAACGATTCAGTTCAGATGGTTTTTTTTACAGCAAAAAAAATCAGTTTCAGAAATCTGGGGCAATTGGGCAAGATATCAGTAGTGGCAATCAACATTTAGGAAATGTCTTCATCGGTGGTGTACCTGGCAAGAGCCAGGAAGTACTCCCGTTGAGTTCAGATTTTCAGTCAAAGAGCACTGCTACTGTGGATATTGCCAACTCAGGGATGATGGGTAGTGGATCCGACTGCCAGGCATCATGTGTTCACAAATATTCTCAGGACGCCGCCACTTTAGCCAGCCTACCACAGATGAAACAAGTGTCAGGCTGCCGGCAGCCAAATATAACATCAAATATTTCTTTAGGTACATCATCGGTACCCAAAAGTGATTCTTCTTTAGGTACATCATCGGCACCCACAGGTGATTCTTCTTTAGGTACATTATCGGTACCCAAAGGTGATTCTTCTTTAGGTACATCATCGGCACCCACAGGTGATTCTTCTTTAGGTACATCATCGGTACCCACAGGTGATTCTTCTTTAGGTACATCATCGGCACGCACAGGTGATTCTTCTTTAGATACATCATCGGCACCCACAGGTGATTCTTCTTTAGGTACATCATCGGCACACACAGGTGATTCTTCTTTAGGTACATCATCGGCACGCACAGGTGATTCTTCTTTAGGTACATCATCGGCTCCCACAGGTGATTCTTCTTTAGGTACATCATTGGCACGCACAGGTGATTCTTCTTTAGGTACATCATCGGCACGCACAGGTGATTCTTTTTTAGGTACATCATCGGGACACACAGGTGATTCTTCTTTAGGTACATCATCGGCACGCACAGGTGATTCTTCTTTAGGTACATCATCGGCACGCACAGGTGATTCTTCTTTAGGTACATCATCGGTGCCCAAAGTTGATTCTTCTTTAGGTACATCATCGGCACCCACAGGTGATTCTTCTTTAGGTACATCATGTGTGGTCATGTCTGATGTTTCTAAGGCTGTTTCTGCAGTCACATTACCTTCAGCTACAGCCGAGGATTCAAACATTTCTGTAGTCACCTCATCTCCACAAACAGCCGAGGTTTCTAACATTTCTATATTCACTTCATCTGAACAAACAGCCAGTGTTTCATAATGCTTCATCTGTAGCTATATCACCTCCAGTCACCACCGATGTTTCTAATCTGTCTGTAGAAACATCATACATGACCATGTTTGATGTTTCTAATTCCCCTTCTGTAGAGGCGCACAATCTGTAACATTGGCCGATTTTTCTAAAACTTCTCACGATGCTTCTTGACATTTTCAATTGTAACTATGTTATTTTTTTAATGAAAAATTGTTCATATTTGGTTGTTTACAATGCATGCTGTAATATACTGTATTTATTTGAGCCATATTGAATTACATCCCCAGACATATACAGCAGTCGTAGAAGTAAATCTCTTCCTTTTCATTTTTTCCCCTGTCTTAATTGCTACCGGACAATCTGGCTCAAGGGAGCTACATTACAATAGAAGCTATTTGGGGCCAATAGCGACCTTAAACGCACAATCCTATTTGTGACCCAGACGGGACTCAATGTTTAGCATGACTGATGTCAAATGCAGAAGAAGAAGAAGCTACCAGACAATTTTACTGCCTTGGGATTGCACCCGTCGTTATATCAACCAGAACAAACTTACACTAGGGGATATACTCAGGACGAGATCGGATCACTTATGGCCGTGACCGATGAAGATGATCTCACACATTTGGCAGTGAACCATGTTTGCATCCCCCCATTGAGTTTTGGTCAGTTCTGGTCAGTACGCATGTGGGTTTGGCACCATGTGTACAAAAAGGAGTGGAAATAGGGCCATTATTGCTCGCTGAGGTTCTTCAGGATCTGAGCACTGAAGAAAGCAGGCTCATCATCATCATCATGTTGTGGAAACTGAAATACGTTGGGGGTGGGTTGCTTTAAAAGAAGCTTTCAGTTTATTATAGAAATTAGAGACCTTGTCATTGTTGTAACCTGTCAGTTTTGTCGTTAAGCAAGTCAAGAGTGGTGAGCACAGTAATGTCACAGTGACAGTTTAAAGATGGCCGCCCACTTTCATCATGCACCTAAGAGGAGCAGCATTCTTTTGTCTGATTTTTGATTGATCATTGAATGGGGTGATATCTATAGAAATTCATCAGCGAGTGGAGGTTTCATCATCAACAATTCTTGATAGGAAACTATCACTTTCAGCTTCAACACCTTACAGTTTCTTGACAAGCATTGGTGTTTCTTTGTTTACATTCTGGAATAAGCTGCCTTAGCTTGTAGACTTGAAGACTGTAGATTTCACCCCTTCACTGATTTTTAAAAAAAATGATTGGTAACTGAACGCTGCTCCTCTTTGGTGTGTGTCAAAGGTAAAGTCGCCGTATTCATCTGCACTGGGATATCACATGCTTAACACTCTAACATAATGGATGAGCACACAAAACTCAAGAAGACTAAAGTGCAGAGGTTGTCGAACATTTAGAACATTCTGCCGGTAAACGCGAAGTAGAAGAAGACCCTAAACTACTGTAGTGGTGGACAAGCTTGCTGCTGTAGCCCCAGTCGTATAAGTGAATAAAAATTGTTGATTCTTTATTAATATCCTTTCAAAGATGACATCACAGGACAGTCCAACATTTTAGAGGGTGGTAAGACTAGGTTTCCCAGCTTTCTGATGCTTTTAACGACCCCAAAACATCTAGAACTGGCCCTAACCCCAACCCACCTACGTCCCACGAGAGAGTGCAGCCTAGGTATCACGACTGCATGCAACCTATCTACCACCCCCTCAAATATTACACTGTCCTGTGACTATGGATTTCCCCTGTTTGGGGTAGGATATTAATAATTTGTTGTACATAACTATTATTTATTCAAAACGCTATAAATTATTAAAGTTCTGAAAGACCCAATATGTGTGTTTAAGAGGGAGAATGTTGCCGTGAGAAGAAAATTTAGCCTTTATGCTTTTGTTAAGTCTACCTCATCTTTCCTGTGGTAGCTGATTTATATTATCACAGTCGACGTGACTGTCCGTTGGCCCATTCCTGTCTTTTGTTTAGTCCCCCGATGCAGCATCTATTTCCATTGTACCTCTGCTGATTGTTCATAATCTGCAACTGCGTGTATCAGTTGGTGTGTTGTCACCCCTCCATCCATGCCATGACAAAAGGCTGTCAAAAATCTTCTCGTGTTGTCTTCCTCAGCCTTTTCCATCTACTCATAAAACCAACAAATGATGACTATCTCTTTCTGATGTTTGTAATAAGTTGTCTTTGAGGCCCTGCCTTTTTCAGAACATCTTGCTTAAGGATTTTTCTATAAAACCACATCTTTGAGGCCTCAGTAAATTGTTGGGTTATAATTGTGGCTACGTTATATGCACCATATAAAATGGCTTAGCAAGTAGTCCAGAAAAGAACTCCTGCAGTGTTGATGTGATCAAAAGAGGTTTGAGTTTTGAACAGCGGATCAGCATCATGGCACCAGGGTAGTAACCCACAAGTGCTCCGTGTTACTTCTAACTCAAGTCTGAGTCCGAAGTAGCTTAGCGCAGTGCACGGTCTCCATAGCACCGGCGAAGATGCTGAAATATTTTTGGTAGACTTTTAACTCAAATTTTAGGCTGGGCATCGCCGTAAGGCTACTCTTTTTCGATTTCCATCTGTCAAGAGATTATTTTTTTTTTTACGTGCGCAACAATACACACGGGCGTCTGATCTATCCAGAGACCTGGGGAAAATTACTAGAAGTCCACGGGGAAAAAAATCTCCCAGGCGGACAACATACCTCGAGACCACGCAGCCCCATGCGATCAAAGAAGACAGACCCAGAGACTGTCCCGACCAGCGACAAAAAGGCCGTCTACCCGCGAGTTATTGAGCAACCCGGTCGCCGATGTGTAAAATCGAATTATTTTTCTGTGCATATTTAAATATGTCCGTATCTTCAAAGGGGGCGGGGGTGTCGCCGTGTATTCATTACCTCGGCAACGTCACCCGTCCCACGTGTCAGACTGATAGTCCCTGTAAACCGATTTACCGGGCCAGGTGCGTTTTTGCCATCACCACTAACTCTGGTTGTCCGGGCGCCACGTTCGCGTCCACAAGTAACGTCATTCATGGTGAGTGCGGTTGCAGAAGCGAGGGCGTGGAATGCACGTGGTAGCAGGGGCGCCAGAACCTAGAAGCTATAGTACCTTGCAGGGTTTCGGGACTAGTATCACAAGACGCCGAAGAGATCCATTAATGCTCCGATCGTCAACCTCAAGAGCTGCACAAGTGTCAAACGATCGATCCCTCCTTCTGTGTTTATTATCCAAAGCCTGCGGTGCAGGGCAGCGTTTCCTAACCTCGTTTCTCGGCCCATCTGCACACTTTCTCAGTCTGATCTAGGTCAGAGGGGTGTCACGTGGTACTGCTGTCTTGGAAAAGAGTCTCTCGTGTGACCTAGGTTGAGTCTGTGGGGTTAGGGCTAGTTCTACATGTTCTAGGGTCGTTGAAAGCTGTGTCGTCGTGTAGTATGGAACACGCGACATCCGCGCTGATTTAATTGATGGGAAGACAACGTGAGGCCCCCAACGTGACACCCTTCTGACGTAGAGGAGTATGAGAAATTGTGAATGACAGGTCAGGTAGTGTGTAGATGGGCCGTGAAACGTGAACAGAACCCCCCCCCCCCCCCAAACCTTTGTACACATGCGGCCCATCTGAAGCTAACTAATCACAGAAACAACAAATAATTTGTTCTAAAGTATGTCATTATATCTTAAGTAGGTCATGGCCTGCTTGACGTTGACCACAAGTCCAGTGCGGTAGATTTTCTGATTTTTTAGGTTTAGACAACCGATCAACATCATGGCACACGGGTAGTAATCCATAAGTGCTCCGTTCTACTTCTGACTCAAGCCTGAATCTGAAGAATCTCAGCAGAGTGCACGAACTCCGTAGCA